ACGGTGCCATGGAATGACCCAGGTCACAATTCTCACGGTGCACGCTCGCACGCCCGTCACTTGGCATGTGCGTCACCTCAATACTAACCACATAACACGTAGTTCGGGGTTTCGAGATGTTCACTTATGTGTAAACAACCTCACATTTGAATTTTTATGATTCCGTTAGCTCCGTAAGGTGATTTGGAGGTCCGGAGTAGAACTAGGCTTGAATTGACGAAAGTTGGAATTTTTGCAATTTTGGTCGGAAGTGGAAATTTTGATATCGGGGTCGGATTGGATCTTTGGAAGTTGGAGAAGGTTCGTGGTGTCATTTCTGACTTGTGTGCAAATTTGAGGTCATTCAGACGTGTTTTGGTGGGTTTTGGCATCGTTTATGGAATTCGGAAATTTAGAAGTTCTTAGGCTTGAATCCGAGTGTAATTTGGTGTTTTGATGTTGTCTTGGGTATTTCGAAGGTTCGACTAAGTTTGTATGATGTTTTGGGGATATGTTGGTATGTTCGGTTAAGGTCCCGAGGGCCTTGGGTTGATTTCGGGTGATTAATAGAACAAGTTTGGAATTTGGAGGAGTTGCTCAAGTTGGAACTCAGCTGTCATAACCGGGGGGGGGGGGGGGAGGGCACAGGTTCGAGCCCCCAAAAGCCGAGAAAGAGCCGCAGAAGCGGCCAAGGTTGAGCTGGGTAGAGGGCACATGTGAGATGCTATTCCCGCACCTGCGGAGGTTGCAGAAGCGGACACAAGAGCGCAGGTGCGAGGCGGACGCAGAAGCGTGATAAGTTCCGTACCTGCGTAAGTGCAGATGCGGTCTTGAGGCCGCAGGAGTGAGGTCAGGATATTAAGTGGGTTCTGCACCTGTGATGGATTTTCTGCAAGTGCGGCATCGCAGAAGCGACATTTGGACCGTAGGTGCGGTATCGCTGGGCAGAATGTATAAATAGAAGACTTTGCGAATTTTTGCTCATTTCCACCATTTCCAATTCGAACTTCGGATCTTTTGGGGAGATTTTTGAAGGGGACTAAAAGGTTTTCACTGAGGTATGTTGCTTGAGCTCTAATATCATTAACCATGGTGTTTTCCCTTTGTTTTCCCACCTAATTATTAGGATTGAAGTGAAATAAGGGGTTAGGGCTCGGGATTTTGGAGAGAGTAATTTGGGGATTTGAGGGATCAAATGACGTCGGATTTTGATGAAATTGGTATGGGTAGACTCGTGAGTGAATGGGCTCTCTACTTTTGTGACTTTTGTCAGATTTCGAGACGTCGGCCCGAGGGCCGGGTTTGAGTGAATTTCGAGATTTGGCCTATAACTTGGTATTTTTCTTGTGGAATTGGTTTCTTTAGCCTATATTGATCGTATCATATTTCTTGTGGCTAGATTCGGGACGTTCGGAGGCCGAGTCGAGAGGCAAGGTCATTGCGGTGTAGGATTTTGCTCGGCTTGAGGTAAGTAACGCTTTCAAACTTGGATCTGAGGGTTCGAAACCCTGAACTACGTGTTGTGTGGTTAGTATTGAGGTGACGCACATGCAAGTGACGGGCATGCGGGCGTGCACCGTGAGAATTGTGACCTGGTTCATTCCATGGCATCGTTTAATGACTCTTTCTTGTTGATATCCGTGTTCCTAATATGTGATAAAGTAATTGAGCTAAAAACATGCTAGATAAAATGTTAGGGCTTGATGTCGTTACTGTTGGGACCCCTAGTGGTTGTTTCTTGCTGTCATTTCACTCATTTCGCTGTTATATTGTACTCAGCCATCTTCATGCATTTCATATCATATCTTAGTCTCAATTGTTATTATTGGCATAGAATATCATTGGTTCCGGGCTAGTTCCCATCATATTGTGAGCCCGTGGGTGAGACTAGAGGGTGATGACTGAGTGAGGACGAGAGCCTAATTAGGAGTGACTGTTATGGGATCGGGCTGCACGCCGCAGCGATTATATTGCTTTATACCATGACTGGCCTGTTATAGCGCTTGGGCCGTAGGAGCCCTTCCGGAGTCTGCACACTCACAATGGACGCGAAGGATATTATTGAGGGATGGATTTCCATGGACATGGATTTGTCCAAAGTATTGATATCTGGAGATAGATTTCTCCACAAGGTTGGATTACCCTTGTTCCTCGGTACCGGGTGACTTATAGTCAGTAATGAGTATGTTCCAGGATAGATTTCCCTGGGCTGGATGGCCATATATGGTACCGAGTGGTTGAGCACTTGAGAGTGGGAGTACACCGTGCATTTCATACAGTCAGTGCATTGGCATGTAGAGGCAGTTGAGTTATATATTTAAACTGTTCAGATCTGTATTTACCTTATTACTTTGAGTTGTCTATTAGCTAAAAGCATGCCTACGTTTCTTGTACATTGTTTCTATTATATCTGTTGAGGTTGAGTTCGTCACTACCATTCAGTACATAGTTTGGACTCGTTACTTATTGAGTTGGTCTACTCACGTTACCCCCTGCACCTTGTGTGCAGATTCAGGCACTTTTGGACCTAGTGGCGGTTGCTAATCGAGGCTTCAGGCTTAGGAGATTATTGAGGTATCTGCACGACGTTCGCAAGCCTTGGCTCTCCTTCTTATTCTCCAGTTGTATTTCAATTGCTTCTTTAGACATTGTAATAGACTATGTATTTCCCTAGATGCTTATGTACTCAGTGACACCCTGGTTTTGGGTTGGATTGTATCTTATCTTGGAATTTCTTATGTTTCAATTAGTTTCTTTACATGTTAAAAGCTTTCGTTAATGTTTTCAACTTATAGTTATTATATTGGTTATTGAGTTGAGGCTGGCCTAGTTTCACGATAGACGCCAACGGGTCAGATTTTGGGTCGTGACATACAATCTTTGAGTTCTTTCTTTGGAAATAGTGAATGTCGTAAGAGGTGTATAATCCAATGTATGATCCTAATTTAAACACGCCACCTACACGAGTCACTACATAATTTTAAGGAATGCAGGAATATGATTCCTCATCCCTAGTCACAATAGCTCAGGCGCAATGCCAGCAGATGCATAAGATGGAGAGGTGCTATAAGGCCCAGTCCGCTAGTGATATTGTCCGCTCTGGGCCTAGGCCTCACGGGTTTAAAATGCGTTACTAGGGTCTAAGGCTTGTCAAATATACCCAGCATTCCTCTTGTGTTTTGCCGATGAGGGACTTTGTCTAATGTTTGCCGTGTTACATACACCCATTCTTATGGACTCAGCGTCCTCACTGAGGTTTGCCCCATCGCATGGGATTCGCCTAGACTCAGCAATGAGGTTTGCCCCGCTTAACCAGGATTTGCCTAAACTCAGTTGAACTCTGACCCACCATCAGCAAGGTTGACACACGAGTGCTCTGATACGATCTGTAACAGCCCATCACTATAGTGATATTGTCCGCTCTGGGCTTAGGCCCTCGCGGGTTTAAAATGTGTCACTAGGATCTTAGACTTGTTAGCTTTTACCCCCAGCATCCCTATTGTATTTTGGCAAGATGAAACTCTGTCTGAAGTCTGGGGTGTTTAGGCGCCTCATTGATTGCTGACATAGGTTTAGAATGCCCCACTAATTGATCAAGGGCTCAAGGCATGAGTGGTAGAGGTATATGGCTTGGCCTATAGTGACGCCGAAGGTTTACTTTCCAATAAGTAGTTAGCTCGCTTGCTTTCCCTTCATAGGTCCTATTAACTATAATAGTATGTCTAAACCAGTCCAGGTCTTTTAAAAATCTTGAACTTCTTCTCCTCCTTTATTTTTGATGAACTTACGTAGATAAATAGCTATTCGATATCAATATCTCCTGCAATAATAACTAGGGGTTATCCTCAACTGTTCAACACAGATAAAACGTATTCATTCAAACTGCTCGATCCCATTCCCATGCTGACACCAAGAAAAATAAATCATAGGGCCTTCTTCTCTACCCATTTCTTTTTCATAATCATAAAGGGTGAAATTGCTTAGGCAACTTTCTTTATGGCTCATGTATGAATAACAAAGCAAAATAATGCAGATTGACGACCTTCTTTTAAAACTATTTAATAAGGATATTAATAGTAGTTTCCTACTTATTCGCTCTTCTTCCTTTTTTTTTTCCTTTGGAACCTACGCGATTTTGATTTCACTTTAATGCTGGTATTAAATAGTAATAAGTTTGTATTTTTTTTTTCCTTTTAAGCCAACATCAATCACTGTTCGTTACGGCTATTTATTGAAGAAAAAGTTTCCCACTTGTTCTCTTCTTCTTTTTTCTTTTTGTCATTTTGTAAAAATAAACTTTAGTTATATTTACAATTTCATGCAACTTAAAATGTACTCCCTCCGTCTCATATAATGTGTCTTGTGTCTCTTTTACACGCCCCTTATAAAATATTAAATAGGAAAGGGATTGATTCTATCCTTATTTATGTCATATGATAAAATATCTCTTCATTGAATATTATGTGTTATCTCCATCTTCGAGAGCAATTATTAAGGGTAAAAAAGGAAAAAAATAATCAATTTTATCTTGAACTTCTAAAAGGACAAATAATTTGAGACAACTATTTTTAGTAACCACGACTGTTAATATCAGACGGAGGAAGTACTTGTGAATGATAAAAGAGGCGAACATTATTTCGCTAAGAGACTTTGTGCTTTTAATAGTATAAATATAAATAGATAGATATAAATTTAAACCGAATAATGTAGCAATATTCTAATAGAAGGATCTATTGGGAAGTGTGTCAAACTAATAGAACGGAAGATATTTAAAAGAAAAAAATAATAAATTGTTAAAAAAAAAAAAAAAAGATAAGATTTACATGGTTCCACAATTTTGTATATTGTACAACCACACAAAGAATAGTTTTTTATTACTGAAGAGAAAGAAGTTGTGATGATGGTTTACAACCGAGGAAGAGATATCTATTTATCAGCACTCAGCAGAGCAATCGATTGAAATCTTCGGCGAAATGTGAACATAGGGTAGCACGGCACCGGCGATTGTGAGCAAATTTAATTATTTTACATTTTGCAGTCTTTCTCACATATCTTTTTCCTCTTTTTTTCATTCCTTTCTTTCTTTGACTTTTTCATTCATGTTCACATGGGTTTATTCCCATCAGGATTAACCAGCTGGCTCCTAAATCGTCATCAATATTCCCTACCATTTTTTGGAGCTTTATAAATAGGCTCGTGTCTTAGTGTACTAACTGGAACATAATTTCTTAATTCACCTGTCTTAGTTGCTACTACTGTTAAGTGTTACTAAACCCTAAAGCATATATTACTACGTCTTTCTCTCCTCCAAACGCATATTCGCAAGAGCCAAGAACTAGTTAAAAGTTCATATTTTGATATCCTACTGTTTTAAAACACGGAGAAAAAATGGATGGTAATGCTGGAGAAGTAGCTAATCCAGTGTGTGCTCTAACTGTTCTGGCAGAGGTTACACGGCGCTGTGGCAATCACCATCCTACTGTTTGGGGAGACCATTTTCTTGCATATGCTCATCTCTCGGTAAATTTATACTTTAAGAACCTCGTTTTTTTTGTTTTTTTGTTAGCATATTCTTCTTGTTTTTAACACACTACTAGCTATGTCTTTGTTCATTTATTATCAGTTGAAGCAATCCTATTGAGCATCTGCTTGTAAATGTTGACGTATATGACCGTTTCATCTAACATTTTAAACTATTACAGAGAACATGCTTTTAATTTATTTATTTAATTGTATCTTAACACGCCTCCTCATGTGCGAATTTGATTCTTTTTCATGGGCCAAACACATGAAAAATTCTTTTTTGATAATCGATGCACTTGAGCTCAAGATGTTGACTGTTAGAGCAGAAAGATATGAAAACAAAGTTATATTTATTCACTCGCACAGGGAGCTAATGAATGGGAAAAGAAACAGCATGAACACCTAAAAGAAGAAGTGAGAAAAATGCTAGAGATGTCTCCTTCGAAATCTTTGCAAAATCTTGACCTGATCAACGCAATCCAATGTCTTGGAGTAGCGTACCATTTTGAATATGAGATTGAGGAGTCACTGGCCTGTATCTACAGCTGTTATGACCAATTGAATGCTGAAGCTGATGAAACTGACCTCCATCTTGTTGCTCTACGGTTTCGATTACTTAGGCAACACGGTTATTATGTCTCATCTGGTATGTAATCTTAATTCCTCCCACTTGAGATTATGCAATAGTTACTCAAGCTAATTTGTTTGCCAATAAGAGTTTAATTTTTAAACACTGATCATATAAAATATGATGAAGCAGATGTTTTTTGGAAGTTCACTGACGACAAAGGAAATTACAAGAAAGCATTGGTTAGCGACGTGCAAGGATTGTTGAGCCTGTATGAGGCAACACAATTCAGAGTACACAATGAAGAAATACTGGACGAAGCAGTTAATTTCACCATCACTCATTTGAAGCTATTGTTGCCTACATTGAGCAATTCTCTCGCGATGAAAATCAGCAATGCACTAAAATATCCAATCAACTATACTATGGTGACAGTAGCAACGAGGAAATACATATCGTTTTACCAAGAAGATAAAGCAGAAGATGTGTTGCTAAATTTCGCAAAATTGGACTACAACATATTGCAGAAGATGCATAAAAGTGAGCTATGTGATATCACAAGGTAATCTGCAAGATAGATAATCACTAATTAACATGACAACACTGACTTATTTTTTTAAAAAAAAAAATTGCATCAATTTTCAAATCCAACTTTACATTTTTTAGGTGGTGGAAAGAATTGGACTTCGCGAAAGCATTACCTTTTACGAGAGACAGAGTAGTTGAATTGTACTTCTGGTCTTTGAGTGTGTACTTTAAACCTCAGTATAAGTTCGGCAGGAACGTACTAACCAAAGTCTTATGCTTCATTTCTATTGCTGATGACATTTATGATACCTATGGAACAATAGACGAACTCACTCTCCTAACAAATGCAATAGAAAGGTATTTTGTTTCTTCTTTTTGTAACATTAAGTACTGCTTAGCTTTTATTTTACCATGTAGTAATGTGTACCTAAATAACAAATTTCATTAACAATCTTACCTATATCTGAACGTAGGTGGAACATTGACGACGCTTCAGAACAATTACCGTCATATATGAAGCTTTATTACCTAGCTCTTCTAGATATTTACAGTGAAATTGAGAAAGAGTTGGCAAAGGATAACAAGTCATTTCAAGTCAACTATTCCAAGCTGAGGTAAACTACTTCGTAACTAGGGTTGGCAAAGGGCTATTTGGGTCGTATTTGAGCTGATTATGATGGGCTGACTCATTAAATATGTCATTGCCCAGCCCTGTCCAAAGTTTATCTGGGTTAAGATGTGCTAGGTCACAGTGGACTAAACAATGAGTTGTAACCCAACCTGTCCAAATTGACCCAAATCTTTGCAATATTCTCAATGAGCACCTTTTTAATTTTTTTTTTTATTTCAACAAAAAGAGGTTTTTCTTTTTTCATGATGTAGAAAAAGTATTTTCTTTTTCACAAAATGAGTACTTTCTTTTCCTGTTGTAAAATTGTTTCCACAAAAAAAAAGTTCTTTTTCATATTGTAGAAAAAGTATTTTCTTTCTTTAGTACTGTATTTTATTTTATTGTGATACCTAAAAAATAGCTCAGTAGCGTCCTTATTTTATTGATATAAATTTTATTTGTGTTTCTTCTATTGTGATGATGTGTTTCTCTTTATTTTCATATATTTTTCATATTTGATGATTAGTTTGTAGTTAGTTAAATAAGTCATTTGACATCATGAAAAGAAAATACGTATTTTGTTGAAATGAAAGAAAATACTTTTTCTACGTCATAAGAAAAATACTCATTTTGTTGATATGAAAGAAAATATTTTTTTCTAAATCATGAAAAGAAAGTACTCTAAATAACATTTTCATATTTTTATGGTGAGGTCGGGGTAGAGGGGGGATTGGGTGGTGCGTGGGCGAGAGTGGAGGGTGAGGTGGGGATGGGGGTGGGGTGGTGGGAGTTGATGGAGATGGGGAAGGTTGAAAAAAAAGTTTTGAAAAATATTTTTTTATTCTCTTGATACATAAAATACTTTGCACCAATTGGAGAAAAACAAATTCATAAAGACAATATTTTTCAAATATTTAGACTAATCAAACATGGGAAAATTAGAAAATATTTTTCTAAACATAGGTCTATGTAGAACTTTAAGATTGACCATTTCCATGGGTCAAGGTTGGGCAACATCATAAGCCCATTTGGGCTGATCTTTTTTGATGGGTTAACATGGGCTAGCCGAAAACAGCTCATCTTCAAAACATGTAAAAATAGCGTGGGGTAGCCACTATTTAAGGTGGTATTTATTTTTTATCCAGCAATTCTAATGTTGAGCAAAAATAGCCACTACTCTATTAAAATTGATATGAAAAAATATTTTTACCCTTTCTTCCATTGCTTTTCTTCCCAAACGCTCGCTTCTCTCTCAAGTTCGATGCAGAGACATGTTTTTGTGGATGCATATGCTGTTTGTGATAAAAATGCTGAATTGGGTTTTTTGATTCTTATGAATTTGATGGCTTTGAACAGTTACGAAGACGAAAGATGATATCTTGCTGTTTTTCTAACGAGGGTCAGCTTTGTCTTGCTTCGTGTGATTGCCCCTTTATTCGGTGTTTGCCTTCAATTTTATGTATGGATTCAATGCTAAATTGGGTTTCTGATTCTTGTTGATGCATGTGTTGTTGAAATGATTTGGTCCTTAACTTATAGTTACAAGCACAGAAATTAAGGACAGCTAGTCCTTAACTTAGAGTTACAAGCACAGAAATTAAGGACAGGTAGTCCTGAACTTAGAGTTACAAGTTCAAAAGTTAAGGACATGTAGTCCTGAACTTAGAGTTACTAGCTCAAAAACTAAGGACAGGTAGTCCTTAACTTAGACTTACAAGCTCATAAATTAAGGATAGCTAGTCCCGCACTTACAATAACAAGCTCATAGTTAATGATACTTGATCCTGAACTTAGAGCTGGAAGTTCAAAAATTAAGGACACTTGGTCCTTAACTTAGAGTTACAAGCGCAGAAATTAAGGACAGATAGTCCATAACTTATGAGTTATATGCACAGAAATTAAGGACAGATAGTCCTGAACATCGAGTTCCAAGTTCAAAAGTTAAGGACATGTAGTCCTGAATTTAGAGTTACAAGTTCCAAAGTTAAGGACAAGTATTCCTAAACTTAGACTTACACGCTCATAAATTAAGGACAGCTAGTCCTGAACTTACAGTAACAAGCTCATAAGTTAAGGACACTTGGTCCTGAACTTTATGAGCAGAAAGGTATTTTCGTCCGGGCGGATAAAGTTTATTAAAGCAGTAGCTAAAGACTAAAGACATTTTAAACAGCGGCTTAAAAGTAAGGGAAATTACCAGCTATGTCCATTTATAAGTTGCTCATTACAAAAATTGGCCAATTGATAAAATATTACTAATATTAGCCAAATTAGCCAATTAGCTATTTGTAGCAAAAAAATATCAAATTTTTGCTTCGTTTTGAGTGGGTGTTGTTAGAATAGATTGGGCACAACTAAGGAGCTTGAATCTCAGTTTTGGGATGATTTGGTGAAGTTTAGAGGTGGTTCGAATTGAAAATTCGAAGTAAAAGCTGAACTAAAAGAAATGATATATGTATCAAACTGTGTATCATTTGCGTATCACATATGTATCATATTTGTATCTATTGTGTATCACATGTATATCCATGTATACCAGTGTGTGAAATACATGCGTGAAACATGTTTGATACATGTGTCGCAGAAGACATTTTTGAACTTGATTCAATTACGAATTTTGATACAAAACCAGTCCAAATCACCTCCAATCTTCCTCAAATTTTGTATATTGACTTATCTATATATTTTCAATGAATTTCTACTATACCCATTGAAAAAGTTCCTTTTTGTTTAGATTTTTGGAATATTGTATAGATTTTTGTATTTCTTCACCTTATTTGCTACCCCGTCCATGAAATTTCCTTTCCGTCTTATATCTAATGTTGCTAATCACGCTTAAAAATGTGGAAGGTGATTTTTGCATGTGATTCTTTGAGAGAAAGAACCCTATTATTTGGTTTTTCAATTTTTGTTGGCTAGTTTTGGTAAGTCTATAACTAATGGTTAGAGGTTGGTAAGCTGAGATTTATTAGGGACATTTATGTAAGTTTCCCTAAAAGTAAATACATGTCTTATTTGTGGCTAACTATGCACTTCCCCCTCAAAACTTCCGACCCAAACCCATTCAAACGGGTTTGAGTTAGTTTTGCCACCCTAGCAAATAGTTATTCATAATCCACCGAATTAAATTTTATGCGAATTCATGAGTGTGTTCTCTTGATTATATTCTTTCAGATGAAAAAGTTGATAAAGGCATATTTTCAAGAGGCCAAATGGTGTCATGGGAATAACGTCCCAACAATGGAACTGTATGTGAAGAATGGAATTCGATCTAGCACTATCCCATGTCTTGCGACTCTCTCTTGGTTAGGCATTGGAAATGAAGCAACGAAGGAGGCACACGACTGGCTTGCAAGTGAACCTCCAATTCTGGTTGCTTCTTCTATCATTGCTAGATTATCGAATGATATCGTATCACATGAGGTTAGTGGTGTACGCAAAATTTTTTGCAAGCAGTGTCACATTTAAAAGGGTAAACAAATAAATTTTAAACGACGTCGAAAAAAAAAAATTAGATCATATCAATCATTTTAAAGATGCTAAGGGACTGGGAAACTTAAAAGAACAAAAATGTGTTGGTTGGGGCCCAAACCCCAGAACCATACTCAAGAATTGCAGCACCTAAACTAGCGGACCAAGCAACGCAAATTTACCAAGTGTTGTCATTCTATATTATGTATAATCATTTGTTATTTTTTGCATATTATTTATATGTGTATTTAATGAAATTTTCCGCCGAAGCAGTGTTACGGTGACACTGCTTAGCCTAAGGTAAATCCGCCCCTGCATGAGGTATACTATACTTAGGAACTAAGTTTTGTCGTTTTTTAGTTCAGCCCCGGATTATTAACAAATAGTACATACTTATTCCATGAAGTATTTATGAGTTCAACAAAAGTTATTGTGCGACCTTAATTAGTTGATCAAGGCCTTAGGAGGCAGATTCAGAATTTTAGCTCTGTGGGTTTAGACTCAGGTTTCAACCGCTAAACCCATTGCCGTATTTGAGTTATGGGTTCTGTTGTGAATCAAGCTCACTCAATGAGGACCTATGGGCTAGAAGTGGTGAATGAGACTGAGTCAGTAAGGATTATTGGGCTGAGTAAAATATTGGAGAGTTTTATTTGGGATCCAGGCCCATTTAGAAAATGGTTAAAAAGTCCTAGCAGTTAGAGAGAAAGGATTATGCGTATTCTGAAGAAAAATGTCTGTTCCTCTCAACTCCTTTCTCTGAGTCTAAGCTTCTCATTTCCCCTTCTTTATCTCTAATCCTTAGCTACTTCTACATTCCAGTATTTCTCATTGTAATTCAGTAGTTAATCTTGAATTGTTATCCAAATCTGTAATTGAGTTCTATTTCATATTAATATAGTAAGAAGTTTGTCTATTTGTTACATTGGTGCTTTCATCCATCGAACTCCAATGGAGGTACTCGATCGATTCAGTGGCAGTGGCAACCCAGAGAGTTGGCTTTTTCGGGCCGAGCGGCACTTCACTTACCTTGGCTTCACCGAGAAGGATTGGTTACCTCTTCCTTCCTTTTACCTTGATGGTGAAGCTCTTAATTGGTTCAATTGGTTGTTTCAGAACAAGCAATTTTTCGATTGGACGCATTTCAAAGCAAAATTTGCTCAGCATTTTCGACGACAAACAGCCATATATTCGGTGAGGTATTTCGGCGGTTCCTCACCTGTTAATTTTGAGTATATTAATACTGTCCCTATAGTTTCACAATCAACTATGGTGTCTCCCTTTCCTGTTTTGAGCCTTTTTCCGAGGACATCAGCATTTGAAGCGGCTTATGCAACTGAAAACTTAAAGGCGGACCATATGTTCGATAATTTGCCAGTGAAGTATGAAAATGTAGATTCCTTGACATTGATTACTGGAAGTACTACTGAAATTGTAAATCTTAAAGATATAGAAGCACCTCAAATTCGGAATGCAAATTCAGTAGAGGTAGTGGATTTGGTACAGGAACCTTCTGCCATCACTGAAGATCATGTGCTCGACGAAATTTCACGCGCCGTAGTGAGCTCCGACTTGCATGATCTTAATGCTCCTGTCCATGAGGGAGACAGTTCTGTCACCTTCCAAACCAAAGTCCATACGGAGGTGTTAGATGATACCACCGGATCTGATGATTGGGAGGAAGAAAATTTACGAGATTCTACTACAGCCGGGGTGTTTGACAAATTTCCTCAATGGGATACATTAGATTCCCTGGTTTTTACTAGCAAAGGAATTGTGGTGTCGAATGCGAGTCTGAGATTTGATGTAATAGAGTTTCCATTTGATGATACCCTATGGTTTGGTACAATTCCGTGGCTGAGTAATTATCTTACAGAAATTGGTGGGGCTAATCACAATCAGATGTCGCTTTTTGGCTTACACAACTGTAATTGGGTTGATACTGGGCAAGAACACAATCTTCCAGGATTCTTGTTGTCTAAATCCAGAGATTGTGCTAGGGGCAGAAAATAGAGCGAGGGCTCCAAGCATTGGATGAAAATTACTCCAAGCTATCACCGGATATTCGGGTCGATAAAGCTGATGGCCACTTGTTTGCTTTGTTTGGTCTAGCTCATGAAGCAAGGTCTGCTTCATCGTATAGTATCTTTGATCCTAGTCCTTATCTTGATTATCCTAGCTTGCCCATGTTAGTAGTCTTCATAATAGAACACAAATATGGTAACTGCATTTGCTCTAGTAATGATGCAAGGGATTCTGGCTTACCAACTAGTAGTTATGTGGACAAGGGGTTGGACAATGGCCGGGTATTTAAGGTTGGTTCAGGTACAGTTGATATGAGTGTTGAACATAATGGAAATTCCATCAACTCTTGTGCAATGTATAAGCTACTGGGAGAGTCTATAGCAAATTCATTTATGTGTTCTGTTAATGATACTACTACTCAAATTGAGGAGCAACACATAATTAATCAGCTGAGGTCTTTTTCGAGTGGAATGGCTCTTGAGCTAAGTGTGTTACACCATGCTTTAACTTTCACAATGGTGCTATGGATTAATGAAACTATTATCATCGGAGACGCACCTCTTGCATTCACAAAGAAGCCTTCATTAGGGATTAATTCTACATTCTCTATTCCCTGTGACCTGTTCATGTTTGATATTCATGAAGTTCTAGTTAGTTGTTACCAATTTCTTGCTGGACAGTCTAAACTACCATGCTCTCAGCTTGCACTTGGGCTTGCTCACTACTTAGAGGTGATACCTTGTTTGCTTTCAGCTTACAATCATGATCAGCTTTTACACAGAGTTTATGGCGCTACAAGCAATTATGCATTATGGATTACGTCTGGCACGAGTCCTACCAAGTTCATGCCATCAGATGTATGGAATCTTCTTCAAATACGATTCTGCGACATCACAGTTTGGTCTGTTGTCATATTTGGTTCTATTTTGGATGGTGATTTTTCTTCTACTGTTGAATTTCTTGCTGACATGAGACAAAAAGGGGGCTGCATTGTTAAAAGTTTGGATATAAATTCTCTATCTGGCGTCTTAACTGTAGTTTTACAACTTGTGAGCAGACAATTGTTCAACACAGAGAATACACATGAGGATGCACTACTCACGTTCATAGGTGCACTTGCTAAAACTTCAGTTCATTACACTGCACTAGTACATGTTGTTTCTGCTATTCCTTTGGCGCTGACTTGTGGCGAGTGTGCTACCATATTTTTCACGCTTAACAACTCAATACCAAACAACAACCTTGGTCATGTTGCTAGGACAAGGATCATGGAATTCAGGGCTGTACTTAGTGCTGGTGCCGATGCTGAACAATGTGTGTTGGAATCTCATGCTGGTGGTTCTTTCACGGTTACAAGGAATGAATTTGGTGACAACCTTGGCAGGGGCACAAAAATTGCAGTAATTAACTCGACAGTTGAACAGCAGGAAGGTGTAGCGAATTTTGTTAACATCTTTGCCAATTATGATGCATTTATGGTGGCACAGTTGCATATGCAGGAAGGCACCAATTGCATTTTCTCACAAACATACAAAAGGGAATTGGACTTGGATGTTGCCACGGTGAATGCTACGTTTTCCATTGGCGAAGTAGTCTTTCCAATATACTTTACAAGGGAGTACTTAGCAACTACTTTGGAAATGAACTGCCACATCTTTTATAATGACATGGCTTATGTGAAAACAAATTGGTCGAAGCAATTTCATCGTCAGCATGCTCCTGTACTTGACACATATACTCTTGTTTTGTGTGAATTGCGCAAGAATTCTTTTGACTTCGGGAATTCCATTGATGAGCAGAACCTATTTGATGGCGATTATATTCTTGACTTGAACCTTGAGGACAAGGTTCTTTTTGAGGGCGGGAGTATTGTTGCGAATCAAGCTCACTCAATGAGGGCCTATGGGCTAGAAGTGGTGAATGAGACTGAGTCAGTAAGGATTATTGGGCTGAGTAAAATATTGGAGAGTTTTATTTTGGATCCAGGCCCATTTAGAAAACGGTTAAAAAGGCCTAGCAGTTAGAGAGAAAGGATTATGCGTATTCTGAAGAAAAATGTCTGTTCCTCTCAACTCCTTTCTCTGAGTCTAAGCTTCTCATCTCCCCTTCTTTATCTCTAATCCTTAGCTACTTCTACATTCCAGTATTTCTCATTGTAATTCAATAGTTAATCTTGAATTGTTATCCAAATCTGTAATTGAGTTCTATTTCATATTAATATAGTAAGAAGTTTGTCTATTTGTTACAGGTTCACATTTCAGTATTTTCAGCAACTTTAATGGTTTTTGTACAAATAAGTTTAGACTAAAATTACGGGTTCAAATGAACCCACACCTACAATTGTTCATACCACTTTTGTCTAATGCTTGTCGCTCTTATAGTTATGGATATGCAGAGAGAGCAAGAAGGAGGAGATATATCAGGTGTCAAATGTTATATGAATGAATATGGCGTCACAAAAGAAGAAGCATACATGGAGATTAGGAAAATAATTGACGGTAGTTGGAAGGATTTGAATCTAGAATGCCTAAAATCTCCAGTTGTACCTAGGGTTTTGCTCATGCTAGTGCTCAACCTTGCTAGGATGTCGAAGTTCTCATACAAAGATGAAGATTCTTATACTTTCTCCAAAAATAACTTGAAAGACATCATCTCTGAGGTGCTAGTTGATCTCATTACAATATGAAAACTTGAAAAGAAAAAACAAAAAGAAAATGGAATAAAAATGAAAACACGTATTGAAATTCTCTAGAATGCTTATATTGTTATTTTTAATCAGTTTATTTCTGTTGAAAGGAGAATATGATATATATGTACTATATATCATTATATTTGTAATAAAAGAAGTTCCTAATTTATATGATACATATATTGAAAGAAGAATATATATATATATATATATATATATATATATATATATATATATATATATATATAT